GCTGTCGGATCCCCTGGAACTGGAGTTACAGACAGTTGTTAGCTGCCATGTGGATGCTGGGATTTGAACCCGGGTCTTCTGCAAAAACAACCAGTGTTCTTAACTGCTGAGCCATCTCTCCAGCCCCTAAAAAAAAAAAATTTCATGTGTATTGTCTGTATATATGTGAGTGCACTGTGTTGTGCAATGCCCACGGAATTCAGAAAAGGGAGTCAGATCCCCTGGAACTGGAGTTACAAACACTTGTTAGTTACCATGTAGGTGCTTCAAAGAGAAGCCGGGTCCTCTGCAAGAGCAACCAGTGCTCTTAACCACTGCACCTTCTCTCCAGCCCCTCAGATAAAATACTTTGAATCCCAATACTTGTAATCCCAATACTTGTAATCCCAATACTTGGAAGTCTGATATAGAAAATTTGTGAATCTAAGAACAGGTTGGCCTACATGAGTCTCATATCAGCCTGGTTTACAAAGAAAGATTTTTATCTCAAAAAACAATAGCAAGGGGTTGGAGAGATGGCTCAGCAGTTAAGAGCACAGAATGCTCTTCCAGAGGACTCAGGTTTGGTTCCCAGAACCAACACGGTGGCTAAAACTCCAATTCCAGGGGGTCCAATGACCTCTTCTGGCCTCCATGGGCATTGCATGCATGGGTGCACTCACATACATGCAGGCAAAACACTCATACGCATAAAATAAAAATAAGTTGGGCTGGTGGCACACGCCTTTAATCCCAGCACTCAGGAGGCAGAGGCAGGCAGATCTCTGTGAGTTCAAGGCCAGCCTGAGTTCCAGGACAGCTGAGGCTACAGGGAGACCCTGTCTCAAAAAGATAAAAAATAAATAAATACATACATACATACATACATACATACATAAATATTGCCGGCCGTGGTGGCGCACGCCTGTAGTCCCAGCACTTGGGAGGTAGAGGAAGGCGGATTTCTGTGAGTTCAAGGCCAGCCTGGTCTACATAGTGAGTTCCAGGACGGCTGGGGCTACAGGGAGACCCTGTCTCAAAAAGACCAAAAAATAAAATAAAATAAAATAAATAATAAAAATTTAAAAACCAATAGCAACAACAATGAAAGGAGAGGGAAGAAAAGCTAGAATAAAATTATGGGTATAAAAAACAAAGGAAAATAGGAAAAAATAATCAAGACTCCCAAACAACAAATGAAAATGGTATCTTGGGTTTTTTCCCAGAAGTATTTATATTTGGCTTTTACTTTAAATTATATTCCGTTGGTAAAATGGCTCACCTGGTAAGAGTGCTTGCTGCCAAGCCTAAGAAATTGAGTTCAATCCCCAAAATCCATCCTGGAGTAAATCAATTTCCAAAAGCTGTCCTCTGGCCTACACCTACACACACACACACACACACACACACACACACACACACACACAAATAATGAAACAAAAATTATAGATTATAG